TAATGAGATTGAAGGTTAAGGTCACGGTGATCTCATGTCACCAGGAAATCCCATAGGGAATTTTATTGCATCTGGCACCCAAGACCCAAGGATGACCCGATTACAATTGAAGGTCAAAGGTTAAGATCGCTGTGACCTCACAAATCACATTTTTGCCTTGTGAAGCAAAATTCTTTCAAATTTGCCACAAACATTTACTTAGACTGAGAGGCGAACAGATTACAATTTTTAAGTCAAAGGTTAAGGTCACTGGACCACACAACACACTTTTTTGCCTTGTGAATGTGTTATTTTAAAAATGCCTTGAGAGAATCCCTTCAAATTTGTTGTGGGTGGTCAAAGGTCAAGATCCCAGTGGCTTCACAAAACATGTTTTTGGCCTCTTGAACATAATATCTCCAGTCTGCTATTAGGGAATTCATTCAAATTTTGACCAAGATAAATGGATTATATTTCAGTGGTCAAGGTCATGATGACCATATGAGTCTGTAAAACATTTTTTTTTGTGGACTGAATCGTCCGTGTTTGACAAAGACATAAAACTGCAGTGTGGTAATTCTAGTTAAAAATCCCTAATAACAACAGATCTGGGCAGAGTTGGACTGGTCCCATCTGTGTTGCAAATTTATGCCGGCTGAGTGCTGTGTGGAGGGGGCTCAGTGAAGCGTTATGAAAACCTGGTGATTCTGTAGTTTCTAGAAAGGCAGTTAGTTCCCAGATCACTGATTTGTTCTTTAATGGCAGATGCTTCCTCATGCTGTGCTGCTGATGTAGACCTGATTTAAAGGAAGTTGAGAAACACAAAATGTGACTGATGGATTAATCCACAGGTCATCACAGTGAGTCAGTGTGAGTCGTTAAGCAACAATGAGGCTTCAGACAGAATGACTGGCCATACAAGATCATGAATTATAACGGTTGTACTTTACCCTTGTCCTATTTCACATAGAATGTTTGTTTGTCATTCATGTGAATATCTCCTATCTATCCATCCACTTTTATCCTGAGGGTTGCAGGATTAGCTGGAACCAATCCCAGCTGTCATTGGGTGAGGGGCAAGGTACACCCTGGAGAGAGACACCAGTTCATCACAGGTGCCAACATACAGAAACAAAAAAACATTCACACTCATATTCATACTTATGGTCAACTTAGAGTCTCCAACTAACCTAACCCCAATCTGCATGTCTTTGGACTGTGGTTGGAAGCCAGAGTACCAGGAGAAAACCCAACAAAGACACAAGGAGAACATGCAAACTTTGCACAAAAAGAAAGTGAACCAGGATTTGAGCCAGGAACCTTGAGTTAATATCATAGCATTTCTGTATATATAATCAGAAAGGCACTCAGTAGAGTGCCTACCTCTGCCAAGGCCCAACAGTCCCCTTAGGAAACCACAGTCCCCTAAACATGCCATGAATTATTATGAAAAAATGCCCTATATTGCAATAATAAAGAAAAATTAAAAAGAAATTCCTGGATCGGTGCACTGATCTCGATCTGCACCAAAATTGATTGGGTTCTTTCCTGACGCATACAGCATCATTCCATGAAGTTCAATGTGTCAAGTAGATGTTTTGTAATTTTACTAACAGACGACTAACGCAGATGAAAACATAGCATCCTTGTCAGAGGAAAAATATAGAAATACAAATATAAATTTGCTCAAGTGTTGGGTTGAGAATTGAACAAACATTTTTTTGAAGAAGAGTTTACAGTTAAACCTTCCCTGTGTGTTGACATCCTGCTGAATGTACTAGAGAGTTGTTACGCAAAGCAGAAAGTTGTCTGCTCCATATGCAGCCAGATTGCTATTATAAGACAGAAATGTGTTTTTTCCGGCTCCTGGGTTTTCCCCCTTTCATTTAGGTTGTCATTTCCTATGGTAAATACCTCAGTAGTGATTATTCCATTAAGATCTGGGACAGTTCCCATGGTCTTGGTTTGAAGCGAGCAGATGAGACATGTTGTAGTCACAGAGGATGTCGTTGAGATGCGGAGCTCAGATGCAGAGTTGAGATGCAGAGCTGAGATGCGGACCTGAGCCTTGTTGCTGTAGGTTGGCTGTTGTTTTCATATTCTTTTTCTTTGTTCTTGGCTGCTGTTTGTGAGGATAATGATGATTCAGTGAGCAGCTTCTTAATCTACAGCAGTGTCATCCACTTCATCACCTCATTCATAGTAATTTCCTTTTTCCCACAATAGTTTTGTTGAGGGTGTAATTATGTCTGTCTCAGCTCTGTCATCATTGGTCATAATGTTTGGTTCCCTCAACAAAATGATAATATAACCAAGCAGAAACTGAATATTGTCACCAGGACTGGACTAAAATAAGTGTCAGCAGTCAGGGCTACACTCATCCCTATACAAACAAACCAGACACATTATCTGCTGTCATGTCTCTCCAATCCTCATGTTAACAAAAAGTCCAGCGTTGTTGGATCAGGTCTAGTTATAGATCAGGTAGGGTTGTAAAATAGATTTCCTCTTGGTTTCCTTTATTGGTCGTATGTTTGATCCAGAGTAAGGAGAGACGGAGACGAGTAGAAAGATAGCAGCCTCTGGAATGTTTTGAGAAGGGGAGGGCGTCACACAGGAAGTGGTGTGGGTTAGATATAGCAAACAAGAGCTGTTGTGTGGGTGTTTGGGCACAAGGACAGCAAGGTCAGGGCCTTGCCAGCTGTCATGGCAGCTGATTAATGAGGGCACTTTGTTGGCATTCCCTCGGAAGTTCAGTCGTTCTGGTTTGGAAATGATGATTCCACAGAAACATTTGATTTAAAGATAAAGTGGCTGTGCCTCTATGAACCTGTTTAAACCGTACAAGGAAATGTGAATTCCATTTGTTTTGCATTTTAAAAGTACACACATTACATACGTACAGTATATCCGACCAGCGCTGAATTTTAATTTATGATTTCTGGAAAAGAAAAATACTCTGTTGCATGTCTGAAGATTCTCATTTATCATGATGTTTCACCTCTCATTAGAAAGATTAGAATCATGTTTACACTCTGTGACAAAATTACAGCCACTTCTTTCATGAACACATCAACAGCTAATTCCACTGAACCAAGCTGCATGTGAACTGAAAAACAGGCTCAATAGGAATCACACAGAGATAGAAAACCTCAGTCACTAAGTACAGATACCTCCCTATGAAATTAAATCACTGAATGTAATATTACTGCCAGAGAAAAGTAGAACAAATATTACCATTACCCCTACCCCACCCATCACCAGGTGCTGATTAAATAAGGGATTGTACTATCAAGTCCTATGAGCTCAACTAAAGTTTGACAGAATAATATTACATTTAATATATTTAATATATACATTTAATTTCACCTCTTTCCTTTGAAATGTTTGTTAAAATAACACCTCTTGTCGGGACATCGTCAAAACATCTTAAAAATTGGGTTTTTCAGCTCCAAAGCTTTATTAAGGAATCTGTGGCACTTTGTTTTTCATCAAGACCAAATAACCTTTAGATCTGATGGAACTGTATCAATACAACGCAGAATCTAAATCTGGTTGCAACATAATGAAAACTTGTCGATATATTTAATTTTGGATTTGAAATTTACTTTGTTTGTCATTAAACCCCAAGCCAGTGAAAAATAATACATTCTGAAATGTAGCTCTCAGGAAGAAACGTCATTATTTGAAGTAGAGATCTAATTAATTAAAGAGTCTTCCCATGAATGTTTTAGAGAAACTTCATAAACACCAAAAGTTCTTCAGTTATATTCAGGATCATCAGAGAACAAGCAGCCTGGGACACTGAAGAGTTAACCTCAGGTCGAACAGACTAAAGGTGCGTTAATGTGTGTAAACATATTTCTGACCTGACTGACTGCATTCCAGCAGAATCACTGGAAGTGCAGCATTAAAACCAAAACCTGCTAATTAGGTTCTGAACAAGTCTAATCACTCGAGTGTCTACATGTCGGTGGTTCCCACCCATTGTAATTCAGTTATTAGCTGTCAAACTTGTTTGGATGGTTCACCTCCCTCCACCCTCTCCGTGTTTTGGTGGTTGATAAATAACCGTCCAGCTTTTTGCCTCAGAGGCTTTTGGCCTATAGGCTGAAATTGTTTGTTTTGTAGGTGTGTGTGTTTGTGTTTTTATTTCTACTTTGAGTACCCATCTATAAAATTAGCTGCTGTGAGTCAAATGTGGCTGATGGCTTCTTGGCACACTTCTTTCTACTTTTGTCTTTTTTCTGAGCTAAGTTGATAGAAAAAATAGTTTTAAAGGAAGCAGAGAAAAGAGAGAACATTTTAAAGTAGTTTGCTCTCACTAGAATCAACTTTCAAGAACCTTAACATTTGAGATACCACCCCAATAATTTCCTGCTTCCCTCCCTATAATAATGTATTACTTTGGTAAAGCAGAGTCTTAATTAATCTCCCTCAGATTCTGTGGCACAGTCAAACCCAGCAGCTTCCTCTCTTCTTTAGCCCCTCGTGTGTGTTTTTAAAAGATGTGGGATCAGTGTTTGTCAGATCTGTGTAACACTCTGAAATCTGTTCGAGCCCCCAGAGATTTGAAAAAAGTAATTTGCATTAACCCGATTACTTATCTGCTCATCCATCTTTAGAAGTGGCAAGACAGCATTACACAATAGTAGGAATTAAAATGCAGTTGCCCAGGCACGCAGGACTGCTCGTAGTCGACACCTCCACCAATATATTTGACTGTTTGAATAAAGGATGTTCATTTTGCTGGTGGTAATACCATAATTAAATAACAGTGGCAACAAAGTAAAACAGTTCATTCATTTTCTTCATTCAAACAGAAAGACAACTACCTGTCAAACTGACAACACACGTCAGACACACAGCCTCTAGCTAAACCACTTTTTTAGTCACTTTACCTGTGTTTAAAAGAACAGCGTTTACCCACTCAGTTTGGTGTAAAAGAAATGTAAGACAAGTCAAAGTGTCAGAATCTATGAGATGAGCGTCTCAAGCTTTTCCCTCTCTCTCCTCTGCAGGGTTGGTGATGAGGGAGCTGTCTCATCCGTGCCGAATGATGCTGCTTGTGAATCCGCAGAGCGGGAAAGGACAAGCGCTCACCATGTACAACAACCACATCCAACCAATGCTCAACGAGGCCGGTGTCCCTCACACTCTGGTCATAACTGGTGAGCTGACATACTCACTACATACAGACTCCAGTTTCAATGTATTTTTGCGTTTCTCAATGACCATATGGTAATTAGTTTGTAGCCACCGTCAAAATCAACACTGATCACCAGATAATGATTGATACCTTTCTTTAATTGGTGAAAACTTCATAGCTGGGTTCATTCATTCAGCCCCTCCTGACTCACTCTCTATCTCCCTCTCTAGCATCGACACACGCACCAGACACGTAGAAGTTCAAACTGGGTAAAAACATAATTTAGTCATCACGGACAGAAATGACGTACGCGTGTATTTGTATATAGAGCGGGAAAGTGAGACCTGATCCACTAATGTTCAGATTTTTCAGAACAGATGTTTATACAGATATTAATGCCAAACTAAGAATACACACATTATTGTGCACCTGTATTGGAGAGTTATGTGCAATGTTCTTATGTGTTGAAGATCCTTTCTGTTCATTTGAGGATCATACGACAAATGTCACATTATTATTTCTTGTCTCAACACTGCTCTTTGCTCCTGAGTAAAAGTCTTTCTAAATAGACAATGTCAAACAATTGGTGAAGAGCCAAACATTTTATAAATCTGAGGTAGATCATGTGCATTGTGATAATTACTGATCATTTTATTGGAAACTAATTTTGGATAATGTAAGTACACAGGTCAACCAAACAACAAACAGGTCTAGTTGTTGTTAGACATTTTAATTAAGAACTGTTACTATGTATTTAATAATGTGTTAAATATCTCAGTGATATCTCTGTTTATTTACTAGATTAGGCTAATTTCTCTGTGACACTGAACGTCTCCCTGACCCGAATAAAAATTCCAGAATGTTCAGCTCAGCTCACACAAATCTTGTAATATGTTTTGCAGTAAACGATCATCATGCACAGTTCAGAGGCTACAGTAACAACAGTTACCTCTCCTGTCATGTCCCACACATTTTCTGTGTCCCAGTGCCCCTTCCTGTAAATCCTCTGCCTGCTCTCCTGCTGTCACTGTCATTATGCTGATCAACTGCCTCTGATCCATATGCATGCAGAGCTGTTATGTAATAAATATGTGAACACACAGTCAGACACACATATGGATAAAGACGCATTCCCAAACACACACATTCGCACACAATCTCAATTTTCTAGGATTTGTACTGAAATAATCTCATGTTCATAGTCTAGCTGTAATCTATATACACTGGGTGGTGATGATTACACAGCACTGGTCAGACTCACAGACAGATGTAAATGCTGTCAGCCGGATCACGTCGGTTACTCTGAAGTTTTCTTCTCTGCTTGTCGTTTATTTTTTATTTTAACCCTCTGCCTGGGTTTGTTCATAAATCACTGCAGCATCAGAGAGAAAGTACGACTTGTATCACAGCGGGAAGTGCACACACAGAGAAAAGAGGGCAGAGAGAGAATTACAGAGAGGAAGACAGACAAAGAGGCATCTCACTGGTGCTGTGCTAAAAAACCCAAAACCTGTACCTGTACTGATTTCGTAGATGTACTTTTTGACAAGTTAATCCTGGAGAATATATAAGAATAGATTTAATCCTCAAATCAACATCTGTGAAAGAGCACGGCCATTGGGAGTGAAATTTCACCACAGTGACAGAGAATCTCTGACTGTGTTTGACTCTATTTTATTTATATTCTAAAATAAATCTTTCTCTTTAATCTCCCTAGATTAGAATGATTTAATCCCTGAGTAATGCCACACCAGAAGAGTATTAAACTTCTGTTTGGTTTACATATAGTTAAATAGCTCCTCAACAATCCTCAACAGTCAAAAGAAATAAATATATTTACACAGTTTGATCAGTTTAACTGTGTTAAATCTGAAATCTGCAGTGTTCGTGATTAATAGCAAACATTAGTATTATGTCCTCTGAGTGAGTGATAAACCATTCGAGTGTTGTCATTGTCACCATCTGAAAGTTTTAGCAAAGGTTTATGGGGATGTCTATATCTTCTGATGTGCGTCGCTGGCATCTGTGTGAGGCGTATGGCTGGAGGATGCTCACAGAAATAGACAGACTCATTATTGGATGCTGGGCTGTGTGGCAGCTGTGGACAGTGCCAGGAGTGGAGGATAGATGAAGAATGACTGCTCTGCTGAGAGGCTCCATGACAGACAGAGAAAGAGTGAGTGTGTG